CCCTGCGCTCACCAATTTTCAAAAATAAATGCATTTTAGGAAGAATGAAAAACACAAATAATCAAGAAACTCCCAGAGTACGGGGCCGGGTGCAGTTTGGTGCCCCTAAGGGCCGTCCCGCTCTAGGCGATCGCCTAGTTCGCCTAGTGCGTGAGCCGGCCCTGGACACAGAGTGTTGGACTGGATGGGCCTTTAACCTGATCCAACATTGGCGTCTCTTATGTTCTTATTCTCGCGCTGTGGTGGCAGTTGCTGCCAAAAAGCACCTTTAAAAAAAAAAAGGCACAGCCGATTCAATCTGTAGTGGCCAATCAGAAGCCTTGCTGGGCAAAAGCTCCACCAGGCCCTTCCCACGTCCTAAAAACATCCGGCAGGCGCCACGTTGGGGACCCCTGGGGAGGGCTCACAGAGCATTGAGCCGAAGGACCACTACAGAGGGGGCAGAAACGACTCTGCTTACCCAGGGCCAGGGTGGAAGCAAGACAGAACTTCTGCAAGTGCTGTCTGCTTTCCACATAACACCCCCGATTCTTCTTTAACCCCATGGATTCGTCCTAAGCAGCCCTCCCCCATGGCTGTGCCCCCAACATGAATTAGCCCCTCTGGATATTGGCCGGGTGCTTTCCCCCCCTCCTCTGAGCCTCTGCAGGCTACGCTCACCCTTTTAGAACAAAGGGCCTGGGCCTTCTCCTAGGGCAGGTGCCAAGTGTCCGCCTGGAACGACCCCTCGCTCTTAACGGAGGTTGGTTCTGCTGCTGTCTGGGTAGGATCCTGAGAACGCAGTGCTCAAAATTCCTGAAACTTTTTAAAAAAAGTTTATTCTAGGTTGTGGCAGTTCTCTTGTGCCCCGCTGAATTTAGCGTAGTCGGTTTCAGAGAAGGAAGGAACGGTCAAATGTTGCCTGTGCCGCAAAGTGCATGACAGATTAAAATGTATTTTAGTTCATTTCCCCCCCTTTTGCCCTTTCTCCAAGGTGTTCAGAGCGGCATACAACATTCTACTGCCTCCGTTTGTATCCTCACATGAACCCTGTGAGGTAGGCTAGATTCAGAGAACATAACTGGCCCCACGTTACTCAGCGAACCTCATAGCTGAAGGGGAACTTGGACTCATGACTCACAGATCCTGATTCAGCACTGTACCCACCAATGTTCCCTCTAAGCTGAGTTAGTGTGAGCTAGCTCACAGTTTTTTAGCCTCCAGCTCACAGATTTTTGCCTTCACTCAGGAAGGATGGCTCCAGAGCAAACTAATGTATGCAGTGGCCAAATCGCTCGCTCACACCTTGAATGCCAGTAGCTCACAAAGTAGAATTTTTGCTCACAAGACTCCACAGCTTAGAGGGAACATTGGTACCCACTACACCACACTGGCCTTTCCCATGATTTAATCATCATTTCTTCTTTGCGGGGAACCATGGGAATTGTAGTTCTGAGACTGCAGCTCAGGATCTCTGACAGAGTACGTTTAGTTCCCTCGGCAAGCATCCCTTCCCAGAATTCAGTGGGGGGTGGAGCCGGAGGGAAGCCATGACAGTGAGCCTTGTACAAAACCAATATGCATCTGCAGTGTTGACCTGACTCAGGGCTACTCAGACAGCAAGAGAACCTCGGCGCCAAGAGTCTAAGAATGGGATGGTTGCTTTTCCCCCCGCCACAGATCTCCACAACGTCTTCCTGACTCGTTCAAATACCTGGTGTGGGACTATCGGGGAGACCGTCACGGTGGTGGAAGGTGCCAACCTGGAACTTCTCTGTTATGCAGACGCCTCAAAAGACCCAATCTACGAGTGGAGCTGGGAGGTGAGACCCCAATAGTTCCGCGGAGCGGCACGCAAGAGATTTTTGCCCCCAATCAAAGGCTGTGCAGAATATTCATTTCTCTGGTGTTTCGGAAGCAGAATTTTCAAATAGGGAAGGGTGGGGAGAATATTCCCCCCCGAATCCCCCCTCGTTCGTTCAGCTGTCTGCGTAGTGCCACTGTTTTCCTTAGGGTTGCCAGCTCTGGTTTGGGAAATCCCTGGAGGTTTGGGGCTGCGGCTGACAAAGACAGAGTCTGGGGAAGGGAGCAAACTTCATAAGGGTGCGCTATTACTCCAGGACTTCAGTTTCTCCTTAGGCTTGTGGGAGCGGGGGATAACCCACTTTTGCGGGCTCTGGCCTGCTGGCCAGTGGGAACCCCGCCCCCCCAAGGCCCCGTGCAACACCGCCAATGCGCTGGCGTCACTTCTGGAAGTGGCGTCATTGTGTCGGGGGCGACGCTCCACTTTTGGGGGTAAAACTCTATGGTTTGTGGCCATTTTTACCATAGAGTTTTGCCCCAAAAGTAGAGTGTCGCCCTGACGTCGCTGACGTGATGACGTCATTTCCAGAAGTGATGTCAACGTCTCAGTGATGTCCCCGGACGAACGCCTCCCAAATCCCTCCACCGGCAGGAGGAAGGCATCTAGCAACCAGTGTTCCCTCTAAGCTGAGTCAGTGTGAGCTAGCTCACAGTTTTTTAGACTCTGGCTCACACATTTTTTTTTGCCTTAGCTCAGGATGGAGGGCTCCAGAGCAAACTAGTTTATGCAGAAGCCAAATCCCTCGCTCACAATTTTAACACCAGTAGGCTCACAATATAGAATTTTTGCTCACACAACTTACCTGGCTGCTGCTTTCTCTGACTGAGGGCTGCTGGGAACAGGGGGTGGGGCTTGTTGCATGTGCCCGCCCCCTGGGCTCTTTACTGCCGGAGCTCCGCTCCTGTGCGCTCCTGCAGGAAATGACCCCTGCTAGCAACCATATATTTCATAGACTCTATGGTAAATCACAGAGCCTATCCTCCAAAGTTCCCTTTCCCTCCAGGAGAGCTGACCTCTGCAGTCCAGAAATAAGATGTAATACCAGGAGAACTCCGGGTTCCACCTGGAGGTTGGCCAGGCAACCTATTCTCGATCTGCCCCTGCTTGACACTTAAAAAATAATAATAATTAAAGCTGTGAGTCACCTTCTTGTCTCCTGGTTCCCCATCCAGACCGGGTTTACCTTGAGACTCAGAGCCTGGCTGAGGAAACAGCAGAATAAAAAAAAACGAAGGCAGGAAGCAGCATTTGTAGCTGAGAAGCAGCTGTGGGTGGCAAGGAGGATTTAAGACAGACACTGTGGAGAATTCCATGTTTACCTTGCCACATACAGTCCCACCGACGGGTGCCAAATTGTACATGATAAGTTCATGATTGTGTGTGTGTGTGAGGGATACTTTGGGTTCATGGGGTGACGCTTGGGATGCCAGCCTCCCGGTGGGGCCTGGGGATCCCCTGGAATTCCAGCTCATCTCCAGACTACAGAGATCAGTTCCCCTGGAGAAAATGGGTGCTTTGGAGGGTAAGACTCTATGGCCTTGTGCCCCATTGAGGTCCCTATTGGGTATTGTAAATAAGAACTGGGAGACTGACCAGTTATGAAGGTGCACAGAGAGTTTATATAGTTATAAAGGTGAATATATACAGAGATATTTACAGGCTATTGAACAGCATGTCGTGCCTTAGTCTATGAGAACTAAGTCCCCATCCAGTTTACTAAGCTGATAGCTATTATGCTAAACCCCAGCCAATCTCTAGCAAGGTGACGTAATCACTAACTCTAACAAGCCCTGTAAGAGCAACACCTGCTAGAAACACCTGGCTGTAATTACATGATTACTAGCATGACAGCTAGGTCTGACAA